CTCAGACCCAGGAGTCCAGGCCCCCAGCCCCTCCTCCCTCAGACCCAGGAGCCCAGGCCCCCAGCCCCTCCTCCCTCAGACCCAGGAGCCCAGGCCCCCAGCCCCTCCTCCCTCAGACCCGGGCCCCCAGCCCCTCCTCCCTCAGATCCGGGAGTCCAAGCTCCCAGTCCCTCCTCTCTCATACCGAGGAGCCCAGGTCCCCAGCTGCTCACCTATCTGCTGAGGTTTAGGCAAGTTCAGGTTGTCCATGATTTTGACAAACTCCTCACAGCTGCGGGTGAGCCGAGGGTTCAGAGTCCTCTCCTCCTCCACGGTGGACACTGTGAACCCTAGTGGCCAAGGGAGGGGAAGGAAAGTCAAGGAGTCCAGTGCCTCAGGCCTCTCAGAACTACATTCCCTAGGAGGCTTTGGGTGCCTCTCTGGCAGGGGTTCTTCCCAGAATATTCCTAAAATAGCTTTCCCTCCTCCATGGGAACTATGGGAAATGTAGTTTTCCCCAGTTCCCTAAGCTCCGCAAGTAAGGCCCAGGAAAATCCATGCCCTGCAGAATTCCAGGCATCTGGCAGTCACATAGTTTCTACATCCACACACAGCAGGCTCAAGCACTTTTATCTTTTTTTTTTTTTTTTTTTTGAGACAGGGTCTTGCTATATCACCCAGGTTGGAATATAGTGGTATGATCATAGCTCACTGCAGCCTCAACCTCCTGGGCTCAAGCAATCCTCCTACCACAGCCTCTCAAGTACCTGGCAGCATGCCACCCTGCCTGGCTAATTTTTTGTATTTTGTAGAGGCAGAGTTTTGCCATGTTACTCAGGCTGGTCTCGAACTCACTCCTGGGCTCAAACGAGCCTCCTGCCTCAGCCTCCCAAAGTGCTAGGATTACAGGTGTGAGCCCCCTTGCCCAGCCTCAAACACTTAATTTTTTTTGCCCAGAGAAATTTCTGAGACTGGTAGTCTTCATACCCTACAAGGATTACAGAGATTTACACTCCCCTTTCAAAGTTATTATTTTTTTTTTTTTTTGAGACAGAGCCTCACTCTGTCTCCCAGGCTGGAGTGCAGTGGTGTGATCTTGGCTCACTGCAACCTCCACCTCCCAGGTTCAAGCAATTCTCCTGCCTCAACCTCCCGAACAGCTGGGATTACAGGCATGGGTCTGTAATCCCAGCTCCTCCAGGAAGCCCTCACCATGGTAATCATGAGCAGGGTAGATCAGACAGTCGCCTGGAAGTGTGAAGATCTTTTCATGGACCGAGTGGTACAAAGTCTTGGCACAGCCTGGGGAAGGAAAGATCAGAGGTCAGTGATCAACAGGATTCTGTCTAACCCCTTCCTTCAAGAAAAGGGTGAGAGGATAAAATCACTATAGCTAAAGCATCTCCTTCATGTCCTGCCAATATCCCTTTGTCTAAGTAGAGAACAGGGAAAGGCATTCTAGGCAGATGGAACAGCATGTACAAAGAATTGAGGAATGGTGAGAAATTCAGCATGGCTGTAAATAGGGTTGGAATGACACCGTGAAGCACCAAAGAGTGTCATTTGTGACCTTGGCTGTCACCCAGGGGATGTCAAGTAAAGGTTCTGAACAAGGAAGGTGGACTAGAAGGTAAGACACTGAAGACAAAGCCAGGTGCAGTGGCTCATGCCTGTAATCCTAGCACTTTGGGAGGCTGAGGCAGGTGGACTACCTGAGGTCAGGAGTTCAAGACCAGCCTGGCCAACATGGTGAAACCCTGTCTCTACTAAAAATACAAAAATTAGCCAGGCGTGGTGATGGGTGCCTGTAATCCCAGCTATTCAGGAGGCTGAAGCAGGAGAATTGCTTGAACCTGGGAGGTGGAGGTTGCAGTGAGTCAAGATCACACCACTGCACTCCAGCCTGGGAGACAGAGTGAGGCTGTGTCTGAAAAAAAACAACAACAAAATGAAAAAAAGAAAGAAACTGAAGACATGAGGCCCAGGAGAGTGTGACGCCATGGTCCCCACAAGCAGCTCTGAGTCCTAAGTAGGGAGCAAACCTCTCTTCCACCTTGCACTTCAGCCTAAATCCTTCAGCTTCCTGACTGTACTTCGAATGGATAAATGGAAGATTGGGGGCCTTGAAGAGAAAAAGACAGAGACTGAGATGCAGAGATAAGGAGAGAGGGAAGAGGGAGGAAGACGCCTGGGGATGTGGCTTCCCATGACCATCTCATCATGGCTTCTGTCTTTCCCTCTCATCCAGCCTCACTTCTCCCTGCAAGGCAGCTAAATTCCAGGCTTAGTGTTAACCCCACATTGTCACACATGCTCAAAGGATGGCCCAACCCTGAGATTCTGAAACTATACTCCCTTTCCACAGGGAAGCTCCTAAATCTAACTGCCCCTAGCAGCTAGACTCTAAATGGGTCATTGCTCCCTGGCAAATAAACCGCTGGCTCTAACAACTTCTTTTTTTCTCTCTCGCTCTTTTTTTTTTTTTTGAGATGGAGTCTCGCTCTGTCACCCAGGCTGGAGTGCGGTGGCACAATCTCAGCTCACTGCAACCTCCGCCTCCTGGGTTCAAGCAAATCTCTGCCTCAGCCTCCTGAGTAGCTGGGACTATAGGCACCCACCACCACAGCCGGTTAATTTTTGTATTTTTAGAGACGGGGTTTCTTGAACTCCTGACCTCATGATCCACCTGCCTTGGCCTCCCAAAGTGCTGGGATTACAGGCGTGAGCCACCACACCCAGCCCTTCTTTTTTCTTTTCTTCTTCTTTTTTTTTTTTTAAGCTATATTTGTTTCTTAGAGAGGGAGTCTCACTATGTTGCCCAAGCTAGGCTCAAATAGGTAACTAATACACCCCTGAATCTAACTGTCCCCCAACAGCTAAGCCCCTGAATCTAACTCTTCCCATACTCTAGCATGGGGGTCCTCAACCCTGGGTACTGGTCCGTGGTCTGTTAGGAACTGGGCTGTGCAGAAAGTGGTGAGCGACAGGTGACTGAGCAAAACTTCATCTGTATTTACAGCTGCTCCCCATCGCTCCCATTACCACCTGAGCTCTGCCTCCTGTCAGATCCACGGCAACATTAGATTCTCATAGGAGCACGAACCCTATTGTGAACTGCACGTGGGAGGGATCTAGGTTATGTTCTCCTTATGAGAATCTAATGCCTGATGATCTGTCACTATCTTCCATCTCTCCCACATGGGACCATCTAGTGTAGGAAAACAAGTTCAGGGCTCCCACTGATTCTACATGATGGTTAGTTACATAATTATTTCATTATCTATTGCAATGTAATAATAATAAAGTGCACAATAAATGTAACGCATTTGAATCCCCAAGCCCCGCCATGGTCCATGGAAAAATTAACTTCCACAAAACCAGTCCTTGGTGCCAAAAAGGTTGGGGACCACTGCTCTAGCAGGGAAACTCCTTGAATTTAATACTGAAGCCTCCTAAAAGTCTAATGTCCATCCATTCACTCTTATAACAGATACTTCAACACTTGACACACATGTAACTATATGAAGATCTTGGGCTGGATAAAGGAGCTGGTCACCTTGCTGGAAGTCTGTCCGCCCACACCCACGGATCAACAGGGCATCTCCAGTGAAGGCCATGCTGTGGTCATTCAGGACGAAGGTGACACAGCCTGGGGTGTGGCCAGGGCTGGCCCTGGTCTCCAAGGCCTGGCAGGGGTGGCAGAGTACAGAGAGAGTCACCAAGAATCCTTCAAGATGAAACGGGTCCCCAAAGCCCCACCCTACTCCAAGGTCTTATCTAGATGCATATTTTGGTAAAAATTTAGATTCCCAGGCTCTAATCTTATATTATCAGAGTAAACTCCAAGTGGATTAAATATTTCAATGTGTGAAAAATAAAACCACAAAGCTGTGACACACAACAACAAAAATACAATAACCTCTGGTTGGGAAGGTGATATGGTTTGGCTGTGTCCCCACCCAAATCTCATCTTGAATTATAGGTTCCATAATCCCCATATGTCATGGGAGGTAATTTAATAAAGGGGGCAGGTTTCTCCCATGTTGTCTCGTGATGGTGAATAAGTCTCATGAAATCTGACGGTTTTATAAAGGGTGGTTCCCCTGCACACGCTCTCTTGCCTGCTGCCGTGTAAGACATGCCTTTGCTCTCTGCTCCTCCTTCGCCTTCTACCCTGATTGTGAGGCCTCCCCAGCCATGTGGAACTGTGAGTCCATTAAACCTCTTTTTCTTTATAAATGACCCAGTCTCAGGGATGTCTTTATTAGCAGCATGAGAACAGACTAATATAGTAAATTGGTACTAGTAGAGTGAAGTGCTGCTATGAGGAGACGTGAAAATGTGACTTTGGAACTGGGTAACATGCAGAGGTTTGAACAGTTTGGAAGGCTCAGAAGATAAAAGAATGTGGGAAAGTTTGGAACTTCCTAGAGACTTGTTGAATGGCTTTGACCAACATGCTGAGAGTGATATGGACAATGAAGTCCAACCTGACATGGTCTTAGATGGAGATGAGGAACTTTTTGGGAACTGGGATAAAGGTCACTTTTGTTATGTGTTAGCAAAGAGACTGGCAGCATTCTGCCCCTGCCCTTGAGATCTGTGGAACTCTGAACTTGAGATAGATGATTTAGGGTACCTAGTAGAAGAAATTTCTCAGCAGGAAAGCATTCAAGAGGTGACCTGAGTGCTGTTAAAAGCATTCATTTCAGTTTTATGTATTCACAAAGATATGGTTTGGAATTGGAGCCTATGTTTAAAAGGGAAACAGAGCATAAATGTTTGGAAAATTTGCAGCCTGACAATGTGATAGAAAAGAAAAACCCATTTTCTGAGGAAAAATTCAAGCCTGCTGCAGAAATTTGCATAAGTCACGAGGAGCCAAATGTTAATCACCAAGACAATCGGAAAAATGTCTCCAGGACACGTCAGAGGTTTTCACAGCAGCCTCTCCCATCACAAGCCCAGAGAACTAGGAGAAAAAATGGTTACATGGGCAGGGCCCACGGCCTTGCTGTTTTGTGCAATCTCAGGACTTGGTGCCCTGCATCCCAGCTGGGGCTAAAAGGGGCCAAGTACAGCTCAGGGCATTGCTTCAGAGGGTGCAAGCCCCAAGTCTTGGTGGCTTACACATGGTGCTGGGCCTGCTGGTGAGCAGAAGTCAAGAACAGAGGTTTGGGAACCTCCACCTAGATTTGAGAGGCTGTATGGAAATGCCTGGACGTCCATGCAGAGGTGTGCTGCAGGGGTGAAGCCTTCATAGGGAACCTCTGCTAGGGCAGTGCAAAAGGGAAATGTGGAGTGGGAGCCACCAGAGTCCCCACTGGGGCACTGCCCCTAGTGGAGCTGTGAGAAGAGGGCCATCGCCCTCCAGATCCCAGAATGGTCGATCCACCGACAACTTGCACCATGTGCCTGGAAAAGCCACAGATACTCCACATCAGCCCGTGAAAGCAGCCAGAAGAGGGGCTGTACCCTGCAAAGCCAGAGGGGCAGAGCTGCCCAAGACCATGGGAATCCACCTCTTGTATCAGTGTGACCTGGATGTAAGACACGGAGTCAAAGATCTTTTTGGAGCTTTAAGCTTTGACTGCCCCACTGGATTTAGGACTTGCATGGAGCCTGTAGTCCCTTCATTTTGGCCAATTTCTTCCATTTGGAATGGATGTGTTTACCCAATCTCTGTACCCCATTGTATCTAGGAAGTAACTAAACTTGCTTTTGATTTTACAGGCCCATAGGTGGGAGAGACTTGCCTTGTCTCAGATGAAACTTTATTTTGTTGGTTTTTTTTTTTTTTTTCAGAGACAGAATCTTGTTATGTCACCCAGGCTGGGGTGGGGTGGTGCGATCGTGGCTCACTGCAACCTCTGCCTCCCAGATTCAATCAAGTCTTGTGCCTCAGCCTCCCGAGTAGTTGAGACTACAGGCGTGTGCCCCCATGCCTGGCTAAGTTTTGTATTTTTAGTATAGACAGGGTTTTACTATTTTGGCCAGGCTGGTCTTGAACTCCTGACCTCAGGTGATCTGCCTGCCTTGGCCTCCCAAAGTCCTGGGATAACAGGTGAGCCACCATGCCCAGCCTCAGATAAGACTTTGGACTGTGGACTTTTGAGTTAATGCTGAAATGAGTTGAGACTCTGGGGGACTGTTGGGAAGGTATGATTGGTTTTGAAATGTGAGGACATGAGATTTGGGTGGGGACCAAAGTAGAATATGGTTTGGCTGTGTCCCCACCCAAATCTCATCTTGAATTGTAGCTACCATAATCCCCACGGGTTGTGGGAGGAACCTGGTGGGAGGTAATTAAATCATGGGGGTGGGTTTTTCTCATGATAGTGAATAACTCTCACGTGATCTGATGATCTTACAAAGGGCAGTTCCCCTGCACACGATCTCTTGCCTGCTGCCATGTAAGCAGTACCTTTGCTCCTTCTTTGCCTTCCACCATGATTGGGAGGCCTCCCAAGCCATGTGGAACTGTGAGCCCATTAAACCCCTTTTTCTTTATAAATGACCCAGTCTTGGGTATGTTTTTTTTTTATTTTTTTTTGAGACAGAGTCTCGCTCTGTTGCCCAGGCTGCAGTGCAGTGGCACAATCTTGGCTCACTACAACCCCACCTCCTCGGTTCAAGCGATTCTCCTGCCTAAGCCTCCTGAGTCGCTGGAATTTCAGATTTGTACCACCACACCTGGCTAATTTTTGTGTTTTTAGTAGAGATGGAGTTTCACCACGTTGGTCAGGCTAGTCTTAAACTCCTGACTGCGTGATCCGCCCGCCTTGGCCTCCCAAAGTGCTGGGATTACAGGCGTGAGCCACTGCGCCCGGCCTTCACGTATGTCTTTATTAGCAGCGTGAGAACAGACTAATACAGAAGGGATATTCAAATGCAACATCTAAAGTGATAAATCATTAAGGAAAAGATCAGTCAGAAGTTTCTGAATGGCAGCAACACCATAAACAAAATCTGAAGAGAACCAATATGCAGGGAAAATATATTTGTAACATATACATACCACACAGTGGTCAATATACTTAATATACAAACAGATCTTACAAATCAATTTTAAAAAGGTAAGCACACTAATATAAAAATGAAATACTCAACAGTCATTAAAAGCAATACTGTTGAAATAAAATTCAATAATATTTTACACTTTTAAAATACAAAATAGGCAGTAGTGGCTGGGCACAGTGGCTCACACCTGTAATCCCAGTACTTTGGGAGGCCAAGGCGGGCAGATTACCTGAGGTCAGGAGTTGAAGACCACTCCGGGCAATGTGGTGAAACCCCATCTCTACTAAAAATACAAAAATTAGCCAGGCGTGGTGGCACATGCTTGTAATCCCAGCTACTTGTGAGGCTGAGGCAGGAGAATTGCTTGAATCCGGGAGGCAGAGGTTGCAGTGAGCCAAGATTGCACCATTGTACTCCAGCCTGGATGACAAGAGTGAAACTCCACCTTAAAAAAAAAAAGGGCCGGGCGCGGTGGCTCACGCCTGTAATCCCAGCACTTTGGGAGACCAAGACGGGCAGATCACGAGGTCAAGAGATCGAGACCATCCTGGCCAACACGGTGAAACCCCATCTCTACTAAAAATACAAAACAAATTAGCCGGGCATAGTGGTGGGCGCCTGTAGTCCCAGCTATTCGGGAGGCTGAGGCAGGAGAATGGCATGAACCCAGGAGGTGGAGCTTGCAGTGAGCCGGGATCGCGCCCCTGCACTCCAGCCTGGGCGACTGAGCAAGAGTCTGTCTCAAAAAAAAAAAAAAAAAAAGATAGTGAAAAAAGTGGTCCTTAGAGTGAGAAATGATATTTACAAACATAAACACTAGTCCTTCCTTATCTGCAGGGGATACCTTCAAGACCCCAGTGGATATCTGAAACCTGAGATAGTGCAAACCCTATAAATACTATGTTTTGTTTTGTTTTGTTTGAGACAGAGTCTGGCTCTGTCACCCAGGCTGGAGTGCAATGGCATGATCTCGGCTCACTGCAACCTCCCCCTCCCAGGTTCAAGCGATTCTCCTACCTCAGCCTCTCAAGTAGCTGGGATTACAGGCGCCCACCACCATGCCCAGATAATTTTTGTATTTTTTTTAGTAGAGATGGGGTTTCACCATGTTGGTCAGGCACATCTTGAGCTCCTGACCTCAGGTGATTCACCCGCCTCAGGCTCCCAAATGCTGGGATTACAGGCATGAGCCACTGTGACTGGCCAATACTATGGTTTTCTTTATCTGATAACCAAGAAGGCTACTAAGTGATTAACAAGCAGGTAACATACTCCTATACAGCATGGATACACTGGACATAGGGATAATTCATGTCCTGAGTGGGATGGTGTGAGATTTTATAATGCTACTCAGAACGATGTACAATTTAAAACTTACTAATTGTTTATCTCTGGAATTTTCCATTGAATATCTTCAGGCTATGGTTGACCACAGATAACTGAAACCACAGAAAGTGAAACCACAGGTAAAGGAGTTGTACTGGATCCAACAAAGTTCTTGGATCCAGAATATATAAAGATCACCTACAGATCAATAAGATGGACTCTCTAATAGAAAAATTAGCAAAGACTTGAAAAAAACACTTTGCAAAAGAGGGTGCCCAGATGGAACAAACACATTAAAAGGTGCCCAACTTCATCTGTCATCAAGGAAATAAAAGTAAAACC